TTTGAAAAAGCCTAATCTTTCCAATTATTTGTAGGAGCTCCTCTAGTTATTGTCTTAAAATAAAACGCAGTGACAGCTATTTTTCACGTCGTGTGAATTTCATTGTGATTTCAGTGCTAAATTATTAAAATGAAATATTAAAACTAGTGAAAATACGGTTAAAAACGGACAGTGCTTACGATAAAATAAAAAATTCTCTTACTGAAATAAATGAAAGACATTTTCAAGCGTTCAATGTTTAACGTCAAGTTTTCAAAACCTAACCTTTTTTCAAGTGAAATATTGAGTGATAGTAAAGCAATTCAGTGGAATAGAAATTTCTACTGATTTGTTGTACTCTCTCACTCTTTTGAATGCGCGTTTTATATTTTAGTGAAGTCAATTAAGAATAATAGATTTTGCTACTTTTCCTTGCTCCACCGAGGAATTGGATTATTTTGGAAATTCGCCCATTCAAAAGAAATAAACTTCTGAATTCTTTTCAATTCCTCGTTTTTTACCGGGATCGCATGATATTTGGGTTGACTTCGTGTGTCTTTGCCGTATTTTTTAACTTTCACGTCGTTAATGGCCAGTCTGTGTATGTACAAAGAGCCAAAAAATACAAACAGTAAAGATGAAGTTCCAAACTCTACAACTTTCAATAACAACATTTCCTTCTAAAATTTTAATCGAGAGCAAGGGTAACAGGAAGACCATCCCAGTAAACGAAAAATGATTGATGCGAATTAAATTGAACTTATAAACACCTTCAGTGAATTCAGCTTAGCTACAAATACGAATCGGAGCTATATTGTAATTCTCCTGAATTTGGCAAACCGTATTGAACATACCAATCCTTCTATTCGTACCAATTTAGTTGACAAAGTTTGGAGATTTTAATTTTTTTCATTCATCAGCACGAATTCAATGTATGCCTTTTATTTGAATGCGAATTTGTTTGCACAAATTGAATCAAATTAAATCGAATATATGAAGAGCCTAAGTAAATCTCGCTTTCTTCACAAAATCATAATTTATTTTAATTCATCTGAATTAGTTTTCGTTTACATGGATGTTTTCCAAATTTTAATGCTTGCTTTAAATATGTTCCACAAATGGAAATTCAAAGCAAATTCTGGGGCTTTCCTAACTACAAGAAACTACTTTGACTTTGCTGTTTGCATTTAGTGACTATTTTTGGGTACACCGATTGGTTAATTAAGTATTACGTATATTAAAAATTAAATAACAATATTTGAGGTATTTGTATGTATATCTAGTTACAATGACATTCTTCATACACTAATGTCCATCCATCATTAGCTCCAAATAAAAATGTTTTTTATTCACTTGTTTAATACTTTTTTAATAAGCACATATAAACTTTTTTAACAAAAATATACATTCTTGTTACACGGAAAATCTTTGTTCAAGAAAGATTACAAAATTTCTTCAGGAAATGAAGATATGGAAAAAATTCTTTCAAAAGATTTAATAGTTCTTTATAATTCTTTTGAAAGTATTCAAATTTTTTGTCATGTAAGATTTATATTTCTGCGTTTCTAAAAATTACAGAACTGCAATAGAATCGTTTGATGCGCAGTAAGCACTACGCAAGTACATCTGTGTGAGTGGTGATTAAGGCCCTAGCCTAAACTGACATAACTGACATGATGCCCTAAGGCCTAAGCACAATAGGTTCGCGAATGACCTTCGCGAACCTATTGTGCGTTGGATTTTACTGATTGTTTATTTTCGTTTTCTCCATCAACTTATATTAAATTTTAACATTTTAAATTGTGACTTTTAATTTGAAAAGGTTGAAAATCAATGATAAAAGTGAAAATTTTTCTAAACATACAACTCTGTCTCGTAATAATATTTTTCAGTACTTCAAGTAATATTTTTTGTAAATGACATGTGCTTGGTTAACGGATTATTTGAAAGTGCTAATAATGAATTGATTAATCGAGTTTTAGTTACTCAAAAATATTTGAGTGCTCGAAAAATCAAAGTGCTCAAAATTTTTTTAGGTTTAATACTGCACGTGTCGGATGGAATTTGGTTCAAGTTCGGATTGATTCTGCTCAGCTCTGCTAGAAAAACGAAAAGCTTGAAATACTCGATCGAGCTTTTTGCACAACTCTATTTAATTTAATAAAGAAAATAATAATTTACTTGATTTAAAAGAATAATTTGTTATTTTATAAACAAGGCAAAAATGACTTAAGTAAAAACACATTCTGCCTATTTTTTTAGTATATTCTATCGAAAAACATCTCGTGTTAAATAATTTTTCAATTTTTAATTTCTTTGAAATTTATAGAATCAGCTTACTCCGAATTTTTTAAATAATTATATTACTCCTCAAAGAGAGCCAAAATTGTTTGTCACAAATAAATTGTTCCACTTGAATTCGTAATTTATAATAGTAAATTATTATATTGGTTAGCATTGATTTAAGGAGTGGTTTTGCATATATATTCTTTAAATATTGTAATAAATAAATTTAAATGAATAAAACATTAAAATTTATATAAAAATATTAAAATGTATAAGTAAAATAATTACTAGCTTTTTAATTTCGTCAAAATATAGAATCTTTTCAGTCGAAAAAATTAGCCTTTACTTAATTATTCCATATTACATTTATTTCAATTTAAATTAATTAAAAAAAGTTAATTTTAATAAAACCTTATTTCTTCTCACAAGTGGCTAAGAAAACGCAGGTTTAGTATATAAGAGAGAGTCAAAGCAACTCATGGTATGTTATTTGCGTGCGTGCGAAAGCGAGCGTTATATGTATTCGTATAGTTGTAAGATAGTGTTAGTTTTAGGTGCGTTATTATAGTGTGTGTAATCTGTAAGAGAATAATATACTTTGTGTGTGTCAGTGTGTGCGCGACCCCTCCTAAACCCGTGTGTCTGCGCAGGTCTGTTCCTTCAGCGTAACTCACAGACATTTAATTTTTTTTAATTTTTTTTTTAAATTTTTTTTTAATTTTTCTTTTTTTAATTTAAAAAAAATTTTTTTTTTTTTTTTTAAATTTTTCTTTTTTTAATTTTTTTTTTTATTTTGTGACGCCTGACTTTGTGCGAAATCAGACATAGAACTCTTCTTTCAGATCTTAATATTAAAATTACTGAACAATTTATCAAGACCTTCAAAATTTTTCTTTATTTTATCAGAAAAAACCATTAGTAATAATTCAATAGACACTTTGACTATTTTTCTAAATTTTTTCCCATATCCTCAGTTCCTGAAGAAATTTTGTAATCTTTCTTGAACAAAGATTTTCCGTGTATAAAATTTTATATGATGCCTTTTAATTCTTAAAACAGAGTTGGTCACCCTATTGAAAATCCCCATATGGGAAACCACATGGGATCCTATGTCAAAAACCATGTAAAACCCTACTTCCATGAAGGAAACCACGTGGTTTACCATGTGGTTTCCCATGTCAAACCATATGGGAAATTGAGACAGGATCTTAGTTAGGAATAGACATGGGAAATTTGAACAGTTCATCTATGCATAAAACCATATCAAATCCCACATGTATTTCCCAGTCAGATCCTAAACCGAATCCCATGTGAAAAACAGTATCATTCATTTATAATTATTTTCCCAAGTCAATCCCCAAGTGAAAAACAGTATCATTTATTTATAATTATTTTCCCATGTCAAATCCTAAACCAAATCCCATGTGAAAAACATTATCCGCCTTATTGAATATCCCTACATGGGAATCCACTTGGAATTTTACAAGGGATTTCACATAGGATTTTATATGGGAATTGACATAGGATTTCATGCAAGATTTCACCTAGGATTTAATATGAGATATCACATAGTATTTTATTAAAGATCCAATGAAGAAATTTTCAAAGGATTAAAAATTATTTAATAAAAAATTAAATAATAAATAGTATTAGTGTTACAAGTCATCAAAAAAGTAAAAAAACGATCATTTGAAACACGTCCTCTCTGCTACAGGTTCTCAGCTTTTATATACTTCCAGAGTCGTCTCAACAGCGAGAGAAGTCACTTTCGCCACCTAGCGGTGAAAGTATAGGAGCGACAGTAATCTTTAACATTACTAAGGAAACCATGTGGAATACCACGTAGGATTCCATGTGATTTCCTACGTGGGGATTTACATTGGATTTTACTTAGGAATTTAAGTAGAAATAAATTCCCAAATGAATTCCTAAGTAAAATCCCATGTAAATCCCCACGTAGGAAACCACATGGAATCCTACGTGGTATTCCACATGGTTTCCTTAGTAATGATAAAGATTATTGTCGCTCCTATACTTTCACCGCTAGGTGGCGAAAGTGACTTCTCTCGCTGTTGAGACGACTCTGGAAGTATATAAAAGCTGAGAACCTGTAGCAGAGAGGACGTGTTTCAAATGATCGTTTTTTTACTTTTTTGATGACTTGTAACACTAATACTATTTATTATTTAATTTTTTATTAAATAATTTTTAATCCTTTGAAAATTTCTTCATTGGATCTTTAATAAAATACTATGTGATATCTCATATTAAATCCTAGGTGAAATCTTGCATGAAATCCTATGTCAATTCCCATATAAAATCCTATGTGAAATCCCTTGTAAAATTCCAAGTGGATTCCCATGTAGGGATATTCAATAAGGCGGATAATGTTTTTCACATGGGATTTGGTTAGGATTTGACATGCGAAAATAATTATAAATAAATGATACTGTTTTTCACTTGGGGATTGACTTGGGAATATAATTATAAATGATGTTTTTCACATGGGATTCGGTTTAGGATCTGACTGGGAAATACATGTGGGATTTGATATGGTTTTATGCATAGATGAACTGTTCAAATTTCCCATGTCTATTCCTAACTAAAATCCTGTCTCAATTTCCCATATGGTTTGACATGGGAAACCACATGGTAAACCACGTGGTTTCCTTCATGGAAGTAGGGTTTTACATGGTTTTTGACATAGGATCCCATGTGGTTTCCCATGTGGGGATTTTCAATAGGATTTTCAATTTTTTTACACTGCAGTGTAATCTGCTACATATAATTGCAAGTTTTCTTTAAATCATATTGTCATGGTATAATATTAAAGTTCTGTATAATATTTAGAACAAATATTCTATATAATTGGTTATACTTTCAATATAAAACAGTTACATAACACATTTTACATTTTAACATTAAAGATTTCAGTTATCATGCTATCATGTTTGTGACATTGTTGTAGCAAAGTCTTGTATCACCTTAAACCACAAATCTACTTCTTGATTGGAATTAATGATCTAGAACTTAAGTCACACTTAAATCCCATGATAAGTACATGAAAGTGTTATGTCATAAACATTTAAAAAAAATTTAATTTAATTTTTAATAAATTGCTAATACTGTTATGTAATGTCTTTGTAGCAATGCTAACTCATTGTTTAATACCTACTTAGGAACAAATATTGTAGAACATCTATTACACTCTAATTCTGTAACAGATACTTTATAGTTATAACATAATAGTTAAAATTCACTGTTATAGCACCATTGTGTAATACTATTATAACTAAGTTACAGATCACTGTTACTTTTCTGTTATATATTCATTATATATCAATATTGTAACATTTGATATGGAACATTTTTTTCATATTTCATAGAACAATTATAGAACGTGTCAACTGGGTAACTGTTATAAATTAATATGTGTAACAAAAATAAGTCCAAAACAATTTTTAAACATGATTAGTGTCCCTATAAAATTTTTTTTAAAATTTCCTTTACCTTTACAAATTGCATGACCATGAACGAAAAATTTTCTGTAAATTTTGAAAATGCCAATTGGCAAGATGTTAGTCGTGTTGAAGATATCGCACACTGTGAAGGAAAAATACTTATTACATACAAATTATTACTAATATTTATAATATTTATTTGATTTAATAATTTGAAATTCATATTTGACAAATGTTTAAGTACCTTACAAATCCATTTAAAAATAATTTTTTTTTCAGTTAATGTTAAAACATATACACAGGATGAAGAAATTAATAACGTTATATTTTTTAAACAATTTGTAATTTTTGCACTTTTTTCATCAATGTAATTTCTCTTTTTTGTGAATATGTTTATTCTACATAAGTTTAAATGTTTTTTTAATTTTGAAATAAGAAATTGAAATTTATTGCCTAATTTTATAGTGTATAAAGAATAAGAAGGAATTTTAGTTAGGAAAGAAGAATGGGATTTAAGGGTAAAATACTTTACCTCGCTTTTTCTTGACCAGCAAGAAGACGGCGAGGTGTCAATGTACCCTCAGCTTGGGAATTTAGAATAAAATGCGTATGTCAGATCATAATTTTTAAATTGACAATATTGTACATCTTCACGCAACCAACTCCTACTCTCCTCAATGTAATCTAATTGTTCTAATTCTCGAGGACAATTAGCGGATACTGATTCTTTATTCGCAAAAATTGTAACCATAAACTTCCTTGGTTTAAACGTCTTCAGGACTCTATTGATTATTTCCTTGTATGAAACTTCAGGTACATCACATTCAAAAGATACATATGAAAATTCCGGTTCAGGTGTTATGTGAATCGTCATATAGCTGCCCTGAAATAAAAAATAGTATATTACTTTATTATAATTTAATTGCTAAGCTTTTCAAAAACGCCTGATTCGTAATCAGTTACCCCAAAAACCTCCTCTAACGCTTTTCAAGCAAATCCAATAAAGTAACAATATATTAAACAACAATGTGATAAAGACAGCCATTTCTTTACGGTCACAAAAATCATGGTAAAGCAATTGGTCTGCTTTTATTACCGTGTTACTTACAATATTTTTTATTCCTAATGTACAAAAGTGTCGATTTCAGATAGCAGACGACAGGGAGTGAAAGTGATTCACTTGTTCGACTTGTATAAAAATGGTGTTTATGTGATTTGACTTTGACCTGAGGTCAAGACGCGTGATGCATGGTTAGCCTTACCTTCTCTGATTTGATGCCTTCAATGTGACTATTAATAGTGAAATGTTTGTTGATTGAGACAAACTTTTGCGTTAATATTTCTGTTCTATTTATTACACAGGTCAACAAAAAAAATAATTTTTTTATGAGATAGCGAAATGGTTTCACGTCAGGATTTTGAAAAAAGTAGGGGTAAAGACCTTAAAAACGCTTTTTTGAGGATTTTCAAAAAAAATTTCTCTTTAACCTGACGTGTTAGAGACTTCCACAAGGTCTTAAATTAAAGCTTGTAATGTGCACTACAAGACACATATCTATAAAATAAAAAAAAATAAAATTTATTTCAAAAAATGGAGTTGAAGACACTTAAAATGTGTATTTTTGGATTGCTTTAATAGACTTCTTGCAAAAAATTAAGAATTGCTTGGATTCGCTGGAAAATTGTTATTCCAGGGTTTTTGGGGTCGTTGATTAAGAATCTGCCATTTTGAATTTTTGAAAACTAATATTGGATTCGTAATCAGCGACCCCAAAAACCCCGAGTAACCATTTTCAAGCGAATCCAAGCAATTGCAAGAAGTCTATTAAAGCAATCCAAAAACACAAATTTTTGGTGACTATAACCCCATTTTTTTAAAATTTAATTTTTTAAAAAATATTTTTATAATTTTTTTATGTGTTCAGCGTCCAAAAATACATCGGAAACCATTCCGCTATCTCATAAAAAAATTAAGTCTTTTTTTGGTGACCTGTGTTATTAAATTGTCAGAACAGATCACCGAAAAATCAGTTCTCAAAATTTGACAACTCGTCAATCAATTTATAATTTTCACCTTCGATTTTAATTATTTTATTTTGAATCTCCATAAAATTATCGAGTACACTACTCACTTTAGCCGTTCTAGCTTTTAGGTTTTCAATATTATCCCAATTTTTAAATTTACTAAAGTAAATGTGTCTAAAAAAATAATAAACGCAGCTATTCTTCTCGGTTAGCAATGATATTCAGAGAAAACTCAGGTCAGAACGTTTGAATTTTGGCGACTGCTTGGCTTGTGGATTCGAACTGGACATAAGGTTAACGCAAGTTCCTAAATAAAGTTCTACACTGGAGAACTGCCCAGGTTGATCCAATATTTTTCAGCAACTGGTCAGACATTCCTACAACGAAAGCAGCGTGGTATCTTCTATGACTGGTAATTTGTCGAAATCCAAGTATAAATTCAGTAACGACACTTCATAATTTTAGTGATTTGAGCGTTTCTTCTGGACCCCCACTTCTTAGATATAAAATTTGGAGAATTCAGTCGAATTCGTTATCTTCATAGCGATAAAGTTAACTAGTTAAACAGCATAACATTAGAATTGGCGTTACGCGTGGATGCGACAGATGCAGAAAAAATGGCGTCAAAACTTTAATATGATTTTCTACGCTTGTAAAAAAATGTATACTAGTAGAGGCGCAGCTTTTTGGAATACACTTTTGATTTTTTAAGAACTTATTGGATTGGCTTGAAGTTTATTTCGGGAGTTTCGAATAACCATGACCAAAAAATTATCTTTCCAGACTTGTGTTTTTTTTGAAAAAAATCTAAAAAGGTATCTGAAATATTGCATAAGTAAACAGGTACCGATTTTGATTCATATTCGGTTCTTACGATCCGGTTATGACTCTACTTTCTGGCAATCGCCGAAGCAACCCGGGAACTTGCTGTCGGTAAGTTCTATTTGCTACACCAGCTTACACAAAAGCACAATATTGCCTTACAATTTAAAACTTGCGGTAAGTGACATTGTTTTAGTTTCTGTTGTGCAAACATAGAAAAATCATCTAAAGAGACAACCGCAGTTACCGCAGTTTTTCCGTTGTAAAGCAGAATAAAAACATTAACTTCTGCATATTACTAAACTTTTGAAAACAATAAAATAGCAGTTTATCGATGTTTTTATTATTGGAAATTTGTATCAGTAACACTTTCTACTAGGTCTAGAATACTGTCCCTACTAGGTAATTACTGTGCCCGTAGACTAATAAATAAAAAGCACGACACTTACAGATTGTGTTATTCCATTCATGGAGTATCCACATGGTTCAAACAAAAAGTCATCAAAAGTCATGTGTGGTATTAATTTACAAATTCCAGATTTTTGAGTTGCTTCAGATGCGGATGAACACTCAATACGTGTGAATATTGACATCACTTCTGCATCTAGTTGGGTCATAAGAATTTCCAATGTCTGGTCAGGTTCTTCATCACTTATCAATGCCTTTCCTTCGCTAAGTGTATATAAATACCAACAATCTGCATCAGTAGATCCCAAGCAATAAGCTTCTCCATCTTTTATTGATAAATTTTTGTATGTTATTACAGACAAAAATACATTTTTCGAATTATTTTAAAAGTGGATCAGAATTCCTGAAATCAGCACAGAAGAAAATTTTTTTATTGGAATATTTAAAAAATGTTCCATTTAGCTAAAAAAGTGTCCCCAACAAATGAAAAAAGCATTTTCTTTATTAATCTTATTTTCATCTGAAATTTTTGTTCACTCCTTACACAAAAGGTCTTTTGTTTCTAAGACATTAAATTTTACTTTAAGTGAAGTAGATAAATTAGTTAGTTAATCTTTAAAGTCCGAGATTTTTAATAAAATAAGGTAAATAAAACGAAAACATTAAGTGATTGATAAAAATAGAGTAGAGTGGCCAATTTGAGAATAAGAAATTTGTAGATGTCACAAAAATTTACCGATTTGAATGAAGGAACTCTGGATTGGCAGTTTAGTTCTTTGGCTTCAACTTTGATATAGATTGTGTTTTTTCATGTTGCATGTGAATTGAATTATATCCCTTTTTAAAAAATTTGTCAAAATCGCAATAATACTAACTTGACACCTAGCCCTACCGTATCCTATATTTTCTCTAACGTTTCGAAATCTAAATGATTTCCTCTTTAGGAAGACATAAATTAATAAGTCAAATAAATGAAGACATAAAAATGTATTAAACCCTAACAGTGGAGTGGAGTCATAAATAAATAATACGCCTTTATATAAAAACAATAAAAAAACAAAATAATATATAAATATCAGTTGACTATAAAATTCAATATAAAAAAATAAAAATAATTTGTCTGTAATGTTGAAAATTGGAATCCAGTAAAATTAAGAAAGGCTTGGAATCATTGAAGTTTTTTAACATAATTTGAAGTAATTAATAAGATGTGGATAAATTTTTTTATATGTTAAAATAATTTATTTTTGATATATAATAACGTCACGAACAAATAATCTAAAACGCAAAATTTCATTGCGTGGATCTCAACCAGTCGTACCATGACAGGGTTAATGTGTTATAATTAAGTCAACTATTAAAAATATATCGCATTTTCTTGTCTAAACATATGAAACATTTTCTGATCTAAAATATTAGAACTTAATTCCTTACATCTAAATCTGAATCAGTGAAAATTTCACTGATTTCAATTCAGTGGTCCAGTTTTCTTTGATGAATCAGTGGAATTTCACTGACAATCAGTGGTTTTTACTGATTCTCAGTGAAATCCCACTGATGAATTAAAGAAAACTGGGCCACTGAATTGAAATCAGTGAAATTTTCACTGATTCAGATTTAGAGTGTAACGGAAGACCCTGTAACAGATTATTATTTACAAAGTTCAGAAACGTCTTAAGATTTAAGAATTACATATGTGTACGTCCGCTTGAAAAACCATTTTGCCGGTTTTAGATTCCGAGATATTCGCAGTTTACTAATTTTGAAGAAAAATCTCGATTCCTTTTTGATTTTTTTAACTAATCTACATATTTTGACAAGTCGAATTATGCACTTTCTATGAATTTATTGATACTTTAATTTTTTTATTTCGTTGTTTAAAAAAATGACTAATTTGAAATTGGACAATTCACACCTAAATTAGGAAGTTTTACTGTTATATAGTTTCGAATAAAAAGGAAATTTAAAACCTATTGATTTTTCATCTTTAAGGTGTACTTGAGTTAAAATAATTCTCACCTGAATAACTTTAAAAAATATCCTGATAAATTTGCATTACGATCTTTGATTTTAATGTGATCCCTTTTCATACGGACGTACACATATTATGTATTGTGCCTTATGTTATTCTGGTTGTTTAGCTGAAACATTTAGGAAGTACATAAAATAATATTCTTTTCATGAAATAATTTATTAAAGTTTCTTAATAAAAAATATAATGTAAAAATATAAATAATATAAAAAGGTTGCGATGACGACATGCTTACTCTGTATTTGCAAAAACTAAAATCTTTCCAATGACAAAATTACCACAAGAAGGGGTTAGAAATCATATTTCAGGTTAAGAGTTATGTAAACTCTTTAATTCTTATAAATATTTTCAGGAAATATGAAATAGTTCATTGTTCAACTAGTGGTGAAAATTATATTAAATCCACTAAAATCTACGGCAGCGTACACGTGGACTTGCAACTTCGAAACTCTTAGGGTGCAGTCCTATGCTGAGCAGAAAACACAATGCAAAGCAGAATTTTGTGAGTGCAAGAGAGATAGTCAGATATCACTATCCTTTCCACTCTTACGAAATTCTGCGTTGCATTGTGTTTTCTGCTCAACATGGGACTGTACCCTGAGGCTGGAGTCCCATGGTAGCGTTTTGTGTTGCGTTTTGTAACTAGGCCATGAGTGTGAGAGAGATACAGATATATCTGCATCTCTCTCACACTCATGGCCTAGTTACAAAACGCAACGCAAAACGCTGGCATGGGACTCAAGCCTTATCGGATAATTCCAGCTTAGTTGAAGCGCCCAAATGACGCGGCAAAATTTAAATATATTAAGTACAATACTGAACAACTATTAGTATTAAAATAATATAAATTATTTTAGGAAAGAATGTTATTAACCTCCATTAAACATGTCATATCAATAACAGGTGTATGTATAATTAATTGTCTGATAAAAATAATAATGATATTAAAACAATTGTTTTGTACTAATAATAGGTATGATGAATAAGTTTAAAACTTTTTTTAATATCAGTTAAAATTTCCATTGCTTATTCAATAAATAGGTTTTGAAAATAAAAATGATTTATTAATTAATTTTTTCATTAATTAATAAAAGGAATATTTTTTAACGTATATTTATTTGTTTAAAATGACATACTATGATTATAATTAATTATTTATAATAAACACTTAATTATCATTTTATTTTATAATTTTTCTTTCTAACATATATTATATTTAGGTACAAAAAATAATATATTTTCATATTTCATTTCTGAATGTAAAATTACCAAACAAATAAATTGATAATTAAGTTTTTGCTGGGTACTCGACTTTAATCGTTTCCAAGCCGTTACCTGGGGGAAACAGCGAAAAGTTGAAGAGGGCAGCACCACTATATCTGAAGTATGCTATATACATCGCGAGTCCCCACCTCAGACCCTCTCCGCATCTACACCTGAGATAATACCTACTGTTATATTGGCACTAACACCGAAGCAGTTATAATTGTAACGTAAGCACGAAAATTAATAGTATGTACGAATATAAATATAAGCAAACTACGAAATTGAAATATTGTTACACCTTTAGTGGAAATATTATAAAGCGCCGCACAGTGGCCTCAGGAAGGTTTGCGCTTGACTACCACTTTTTTGATCATTCACAACATAACCTCAAAAAATCATTTAAAACCTATTCAATTTCATTCTACAATGTTTAACCTAAAAAAGAACTCTATACATTTGCAGATATAGTTAATCATTGTAGAATGAATTTGAATAGGATTTAAATGATTTTTTGAGATTATGTTGCAAATGATAAAAAAAAGTATCAGTCAAAGCTTATAGCGCAAACCTTCCTGAGGCTTTTAAAATAAAACTTTTAAATCCGTTAAGATTTGACTCTGTAGCAGAATTTTGTCCAGAAGCGTGCATTTTTCCCACTGTGCGTCAAGTTAGTCCTTTTCAGGACGAATTAACGATGGAATCAGCTATTAGAGTAATAATTCTGTCTCACAACATTGAGATGGACCGCCGTATCCGAAATCGTAAACAGTAATTTTATGCGCCCTAAATTTACCGTCTACCTTACGTCATCCTTTCGTTTGGTTTTGTTCAGTTTCCTAATTTACAACACGTTAAATATTTTTTTCTCTAATAAACTTTGTAATTATTTTAATTTTTGTAAATACACGCTTTTGTTATGTTTTATCTATAACTCACGCCTTATTTATTTCATCGATCCCTATCCGATGAGCTGAAGCAATTAAAAATCGTTACATAATATCAGCATACATTGATCAAGTGAGTATTATGGTATTATGGTGATTTTTATGGTTCTAACGAAGAATATGAAATTTATGCTAATTTTCTTAATTAATTTCTGAAAATACATAAGTATACAAACTTTCATTAGTCTGAGGGTGATCTATACTGAACTTCTAGCTTTTTTCGCTCAGTAACAGTAATTTTTTTGTTAAGCAGAAAATTTTCTTCAACATTTAAATTTGAACAATTACATTTTTTCTGTGCTCAATTCAGGAATTCTTACCTAAATATAAATTCTAATGTAAAAACTTACCAGGAAAAAATGTGTCTAACAAGGACACCTCCTCCTCAAAAGCTTGATGTGGTGAAGCTTGAAGTTCTGGCCTTTTGTAATTTTTATGAGAGTAATATATATTCTGAAAACAATAAAATTTTATAATTATTTTACCATACTGTTATTATTTAGTAAATACAATCAACAATTTTTTTTGGAACTAAATAATTTTAAATTAAATTTTCTAATGCATGAATTTTTCTTGTTAATATCACCATCAGTAAGCCTGTGTAATAACCCAAGCTTCCCGTTATAATAACTTTAATAAGTTATAATAACCGGAATAATAACTTTAATTTAAATTCAATTTCCAAAAATTCAAAATGATGAATCCAGTATAGCAGACCCTACTGGAAAATTCTATATAGGTCCCTATAGGCAATCCTATAAGGATCCTATGTTAATCATTATATGATTCTATCACTCTTTTCCTATCAAGAATATCATATCTTTTTCCTACAGGAAAGACATATGTTTTCTTATATAGGGTTCTTTATAGATTCGTGTAAGACTCCTAAGGAAATGTAATAGGATGACCTATAGTTTTCTATATAGGATCTTATGTAGATTTCTATAAGAATAACCTACAAGAATTCATGTATATAGGACCCTATATCACTTAGGTCAATGGAATATGCCGGTATAGTATGACGGGTCTGTATGAAGCCATAGATAAATTCTCCCTATACGTAGATAAAAATTCGACTAGCTGGGCCTAGCTCTTTTCTTTTATTTAATTTCATAAAAACAGTTTCAGTGTTAATAGAAGTTAGAGTGTAAGTGAAATTAATTAAATTTTGGTAAAAGTGATATCTAAAATAATAAATCTATCTTTGAATAATAAATGCTCATTTTGCCATATTTGATGCGCATTTTAAGCTGCACATTCTACTAAATATCTTAATTACCATGGTTTTTTCAAGAACCTCAATTTTTATCGAACTACTTTTCTTTTATAATTCGTAAATAATTTATTATTTTTGCTTAGTTTTTTTAAATAGAACTATTACGCAAGGTATTATAAATAACGTCTCCACCATGGGTATTCAGATAATCCGGTACAGAACAAATACTCAAATGTGTAGTTTCGGCACAAACTGATTACATTTTAAGTCCTGACCCGAAATGTTGAAATTAATAGAGATCTACTATTCTATATTATTAAATATATTGTAGTAAATAAAGTAACCACTGTTATAGATAAAGTTACCTTACTTTGAAATTGTATTACTTAATAATGTATTATTGTAAAATTATATATTTACCTCCACTTTGTCAAACCCGGCAACACACTGAACAAGAGTTAATAATGGCTCCAAGCATTGTAATGGTGTTGTTGTACCGCAAGTTTTTAAAATGATTCGTCTTTTCGAAATAAACATACTGCTTTCACTGCAAAACAAAACATTATCCAAGTTTAAATATTAAATTAAGTGAAGTATATTACCATAGCGTTAAAAGTGCTCATTTTGTGAATATTCAATAGATATTATAAATATTTGTTAGAGGAGGATTTTTAGTTTGCTGATTATAAAAGAAAAGTCAGTTTTTAAAAATTCAAAACATAATTGGTCTAATTCATGAAACCTTATTTCGATTTTTTATTTTAAAGAATTATTTTGTTATTATGGAAACACTTCACCATAGGAAAAGAAAGAAAGAAATTATTTAAAAACATTGCTTTTAAGAATAAAAAAGATATCTAAATAAAGCTTTGCACTTATATTATCACAAAATAGGTTACAAAAAAATATTTTTTTGGAAAAAAGTGATTTTTGACAGTAGCAAAACCACTATAAAATGAACTACGATCGGCAATAGATTTTTTTGTTTCTTATAGTTTGCTTCAAAATTTCTATTTAAAGTTTTTGGGGTCGCTGTTTACGAATTTGATGTCAGATTTTTAAAATTTATAAAATTCAAAATGGCGAATCCAATATGACGGTGGGTTTTTTTAACTGTCAAATATTAATTCCTATTAAATGTGCCATTTTGAATTTTGAAAAACTGACATATAAATTTGTAATCAGTGTCTTAAAAAAGAATTATATACAATTTTCTAAGTGGGACATATGTCCCGGTGGCACAACAAATTAGCATGGACAATAGAACCTCCTGAGATGTAGGGAGGAGTAATAGATTTGATGCGTTGGCTAAAAGTGATCTCAAGATTGGAGATATCCAGGAGATAGGAGGCGATAAGGAAGTGCTGTGAGAACGATTCCATATCGAAGGTGTTAACGACGGAGATTGTAGGCCATGTTGGTGAATTGGCGAAAATGGCGCGTTGGAGTTGTTAACAAGGAACAAGTACTTAAAGAGACTTACCAATAGCAAGGACTCACAAATATCGGTTCTTAATAAAGAGCTGAATAAGAAGAAAGATACAACGGTATCATATACAACGATAGCTATTAGCAGTGGCAACACGACCTAATTATCACCGATAAGTGGAATGAGTAGGAGAATTGGGAGTTTAGCACAAGTGGCAATAATCTCTCCGCCGGAAAACTGCAAGTAGGATGTGGAGGAAGGGAAGAAGGAGATAATGGAACGAATCGACCCAGGAAGAAAGTGTATAAAAATTAATGGTATCAGAAAGAGAACTGATGGTAAGTTGGTAGTTGTAACAGCTACAACAGAAGATCTTGTAAAGGTTATCGAGCATAGAAACCTTGCATCTGGAGGATTTACGGCAACCAGATCAGGAGCAATGAATGATATTGCGAGAAAACTATTGATTGAAAACAATAGTCACTGAAGAACGATTTCATTTCAAGATTGAGAATTGGCAAGCGAGAAGGACCGTGCACTAACTGGGTGGTAGAGGTGTCGCCCAAATCAAGAAATGTTTTGAGAAGTAGTGATAGGAACTATAGGAACTATCATACATTATAGTATATAATGTGGCAGTCCTGTAAGATTGAGGATTATAGAGGAGTATCACGTTGTTACAAGTGTCAACTATATGTGCACGTCTGAAAGTACCGCAAAGAGGAGGATCAGATTTGTTCTTACTGGTCACAGACCAAGCATATTTATACGAAATGCATGTAGAAACAGCGAATTGCATCTCCAACTTGTGCGACTTAAAAACTTTTAAAAAAGTTAAAAAGAAATTGGACTATTCTGTTAATGACACATCCTGTCCTATTTATAAGCTAGCGTTGAAGAGATTTATAACTAGAAGAGATTACGGAGTGGGATACCAGTAATTTAAAGCTTCTGCAAATCAACGCTGCTAGAGCAATGAAGACGATAGTGGAAATCCTCTATATAGTGGAGAATCATAAAATCAAGGTTCTGTCTGTCCAGGAACCGTACATGGTGAAGGGGATGATAGCAAGCTTTGGAGGACATGCAAGAGTTATATTTGGACAGAAAATGGAGATAAAGCATGGGCAGGAATACTTGTATTCAACCCGAGAATCTAACGCGTCTTCAGCATCAAGACGCAGGAATAATAATATAACACATTATAAATTATATAGTGGGATCGCTGACTACGAATCTAAGGACAAAAGTCAAAAATTCAAAATGGCGGATTAATTATTTAAAATTCAATATGTTCAACAAAATTCAAATGAATATTTTTACTCAGAGGTTTTTGGGGTCGCTGAATACGAATCCAAGGTCAAAATTAAAAAAATTCGAAATGGCAGAATTTTACGGCCATATTGATGTATGGTTGGCTAAACATCTTTCTTAGTATGATAATACAATTATTATTTCGACAATACTTTTTCAGTCAGATTCCTCTCTCTGGCTGGAGCTATTCTTCCATGTAGAAGAATGTTACAAAAAAGTGTGATGGTGGTACCAAGTCAATCAATATTTTAAAAAATATAAGTGTATAAAGTAAAAATACATTTTTTTATCTGTCTAACCGATATTTCCTTTTTATGTTCTTGTAGTGATTTTAAAGTTTCTGAAGACAACTGTTATATATTTTTTTAATTATTTCAAATGACAAACTCAATCCCTATAATATTTTATTTCTTTTAAATTGTAATTAATTTTCTTCTAATTATATTTTTTGGTGCAACAGTGAAAATCGGTGTAGCAATATAGTATAAATTTTTTGTAATACATACCTTAAGACATATGCATCAATTTGTTCATTTCGACAAAAACTAATAATTTCGCATCGCACGGACTTCAATAGGGATTCCCATTTATTTCTAAAACATAAATATATTTGCAATTTTAACATTATATTTAACATTTCAAATCTAATATTATTTAATATTATTATTAATCTTTTAATTACAAATGAAAAATTTGGACTTTTAACAGTTATTAGTGACATTTAAACTCTTTAGTGTAGAATTAGGTGTTCATATGATAAATATATCGATATGGTTGTCTACAATTAATTTGAATTAATTTTGCTTTGAAAAATAAGCTGCGTGTCAGAATGCACTGTGCAATTGCAAAGACTCGAACCTCAGTTAATAGCAACCTTTCGAGGGTCTTCTGTCAATTAATGCACCTTGCAAACACAGCCTGGACGAACAAGCAACTTATATTCTTAGAGCAAACCTGTACATACATTAGTCGAAAACTTATATAGTAATATAAGAATGAACTACTGGGATAAGAGTAATTAAATAATAAACACTCAGGCCAAACCTAAGTATCCATCAGCAAAAGAATAATATATATCTTTGGAAAGCCTGATTATTTGGCTATAATTAACAACATTTTCTGGATAGTTTCTTAATTTCAGTTATTGCATTAAAATTCAACTGTACTAGAATCTGAGGTTTAAACAGTTTTCTTCAGACGACCACCAATTTCTTGGTCAATAAGCTTCGTTTTCCATATATATAATTACGCACAAATATGTATATCAACCTTGCCCCGTCCTCCCCTACTGCGCTTTTTTTAATTGTTTAAATTCATTTGCAACTAAAGAAATTAACATTTTTAACTCAAGACTTGTCATTTGAAAGCTGTTTCCAAGCTCTACAATTATCAATAATAACTTTTTCCTCTAAAATGTAACCGTATTCAACAGAAGTGGTCCCTGTCCAAAAAATTGTTTTTCGTTTAGACAGAAATCTTTGCTTTCTGGACAGGAACCATTCCTGTACGGAAAGGACACATGTATGTCTTAGACACTAATAAAACAGACAATAGTGAACAGGATTTTATAACTTCTCTTAATATCGCTTTATCTCATTTAAAAAAGGACATGCCATATGTTTTAGAGATTTATTATAATATAAACAAAGTTTAATAAAAAGATAAAAATTACTTTATTTCTTTCTTTCTTTTAATATAAATTTTTCAGTAATTCTAAAACTTTTTAGATAAGAAAATGTCATGTTTATTTAAAAAAAAATTTCATTAACTTTATGTTAGATTTTACCTGATGGAAAGATAATCAGGTTCACAAGGTGGAGTGAAAATACCATTGTCACAACAACCATTAAGTCCCTACATATCAGAATTTTTAGAATTGTTGCTACATTTTTATCCATAGGATGATCTAGATGAAACAGAATATATAAATGAAAAAGAAGACACAACAGTTGGAGATCATGACAGTCTTCATACATCTCTTAATTCATATTCTGAAGAGTTTGATCAAACTTGGGAAATTTTATTTATTTAGTTCCAATGAAAATGCAAAATCAAGAAAGAAACTTGATGGATTTGGAAAAAATCATTCCACAGAATCTAGATATTAATTAAAATTTTTCTGATCAAAACACAATATCTGTGGAATTCAGTTCACGATTACAAGATTTTGATAGTACATGTATGCAGTTCGTTGAAGAAAATTTTAAAAATCAAGCCTAGGTATTAAACAAAATATGACAGATATTAACTCAACACCAGCGAAATTCAAGAAAGCATTCATACGAATAAAGAATTATTTCTGAAATGACAGTAATTAAACAGTGTGCGAATAGTGTCAATAGTGCGAGTTAACGTAATGAATTCTGAAATGACAGTAATAGTGCAAGTTAACGCAAATAGTATAGTATTAATATTAGTGCAGTATTAAATACTGTAGTCTAACATCCTTGTAGAGCAGACTGATTCGGAAGTGAAATACCCCTGCACTGAGAGAAGTCCGGGAACTAATACGTCCCGTGCGAGCCTTGAGTTGTACTTTTGAATGTTTTTATGTGAACCCTCGAATCGGGATGTCTCAAGCCCCGATGCGAAACGTGGAACGTCCTGAAGCGAGATTACACAGAACTTTCAGTGTTTGCCACGAGTTGTTTTCTCACATGCGAGAACAATGTTTGACTGGATCGGGGAGTCTCAGCACCCGATTCGGAACAACTCAAACACGACAAGCAGAGTAGCTCATAGCGACGTCTAGCGGGAACTATTACGTCTCGGTCTTCTCTCAGTGTGGTAAGATTACAATCTTTTTTAGTTTAAAGTAATAAAATAGCACAATATAGGGTAAACGTACCAATTGTTGTGAATGGTTCCAGTTGTCGAGTAAACAAACTTTGTATTTTATTTAAACCTTGTATCACATTGTAAATGCAAAGTAATAAATTTTCTTGTGCGTTATAAATGTTAAAAAAATATATTAATATTACATTCACAAACAAATGAGACATTTTAGACAATATATTTTTGTTGTTACCATGGTAACATCGACAAATGGGACACCCTCGGTAATTGGTACACTTGCCCTATTTTGTCAACAAAAAAACAACATAACAGATAACAAAAATTTATTTGCTTTAATTTTAAAGCGTTTTAGATCCATTTTTCGTAGTAAAAATATTGGGTGTTTCCAACGTTCACTTTGTATCAGTTAATGATTGTAAAAGGTATGTCAGAACGTTTGAACGCTAAGGAAATTTTGGCGCTATAAGAATAAACCAATATGTCTGCGCCAAACTAGAAGGTGAACTATAAGGGAGCGACTACACCGAGTAAAGCAAGACTAATATATTTCAGGTGTTTCACTGGCGTCTATATAGTATATATATGGATATATATGGAATATATATCCATATATATCAGATATATATATGGTATATATATGGAATTAACAAAACAGGATGCGTCGACAATAGACAAATATATCTTAAAGAAAATATTAGGTGTTTCAACGTTCACGCTCAGAGTGCTCTAAAAACACCTATTAACTCCTATTAATGGCAGCCAAAACTACTTTTAATTATAAAATAAAAATTCAAATATCCCACCAAATGGGTTTCAATTCGACGGTGGCGCCATCTAGCATCCTGAATTAAAAATCGGTTAGTTAGGTAGAGCACCCCTACAAAGCCACTGTGAATTGGGCTACTTATGGTAAAATAGGAATCCACATTACCGACTGTAGGTAAGTGGTTACACGGTCTCCTAGCTATACCATTGTACAGTTACCCTATAATGATTTTGAATGATGTCTTACGTTTTTTAACCCGGTTCGCTATCATTCATGTCTGGACAGGAGTGGTTTTTTTTCCAGACATTGTTCACTACTGTCTGTTCGATTAATGTCTAAGACATTACTGAGACCTTTCCGGACGGGAATTGTTCCTGTCTATAAATTGAAGAGTACTAACTAAACGAAAAAATATTTTTTTACTGGGACCATTCTTTTCCGGACAGTACCCAGTCATGTTTATTTTTTTCAGTGTATAACATGGTCACAAGAAAATAAACTTTTTTTTAAATATTGGAGTTGAGTTTGCGACCCCATGTGAGCAGAATACGTCGACCGAAAGCAGAAAATCATGAGTGCAAAAGAGATGGGTAGATATCACTATCATTTTCAGTCTCATGAAATCCTGCTTCAGGTCTTACGTTTTCTGCCCACATGGGACTGTACCCCGAGTCCTTTTCGAAGAAGTCAAATTACATTTTCAAGCTATTGTACAATCACTTTTATAACTACACTATATGAAAAAAGGACAAGTGATATACATTTTGAAGTGATGTTGCGCTACTCTACGAAGACAGGAAAATTCCAAAATTTAATAAACAGATTATTATACTTGGGCTATCCGATGTTAGCTGTAAAATATTTATAGTCACTACTAAAATGTTACAGCGAAAAGAATAGAGTAAAAAATACTAACATATCCTGTGATAATGTACTAGTGACACTATTAATATTTTGTAGCAGACACCGAATAGCCCAGGTTTATTAATCTAATTAATAATAATCTTTCCGTGTAGCTCTATGCGCAATAGATTTTTAAACAAGCACGGAATTATAATCTCAATCATAGGAATAAGTCAGGGAAGGATAAATATATGTCGTTTCTTTACTTACTCATTCTTACGATTGCGATTAAGACGCATGAATATTCCCGAAATCTTATTTGATCTAAAACCATTTAATATAAATTTCATTTAAAATAAATTTAATTTAACAAAAAATTCTATTGATTGAAAAATTTATTTGACATAAGTGCTTAGTGTATATTAAAATTACGAACATTTTTAACAGATAGATCTAGGTGACAATTGACTTGAGCATTGAAGACGGAGTGCATTGGAACGTGTTACTAGAACATAAAACAATTATTTTCAAATCACGGGTCCTCTAATTGTTAAAATTTCTTAAAGACCCAAGTAAAAAATCCAAAGAATGTCTGCAAACTTTTCACGGACTCTTGCCTGCAGAAAGTCTGGTGGTTCAGAAAATATAAAAAACTGTTATTTCATAATTATTGAATATTTAAACTACCAGACTGAAAGTCGGCGGAAAATTTGAAGACACTCTGTACTTTTTTATTTGGAGAAATTTATGGTTATGAACTAAAAGACAGAGTCACACAGACCCTGTATGTGCTCCGAGCGTTAACGTAAATTTAATTTGGTATAAGACCCATTTGTCATAAATAGAATTCGCCATAAATGTCACATAACATGATTTTCACTTTTGCATAAAAAAGTATACTTGTTTTAGATTCCATTTAATATAAAAATATAGGCTTGAATTTTAAAATGAGCTAATCACAATTTTCATTATAATATCTTATTATGGTTACCGTCAAGCAGAGAAATTATGGAACAGAAAATCTAAATTGTATATTTAAAAATATTTGAACTAGGGGAGACTGGGCTGAACCGGACGGATTTCACATACAAATCACAGTTGTTCGATTTTAGAAAACTATAGCAGCTTTGGTGATATAATTATCGCTTCGAAGGTGACTACCCCAAAAACGAAAATCTTAAAATTGGT